TCCAGTCAAGTGGGCCTCTCAGCATGGACTGAAATTACTTTCCATTATTTTTCTCTTTTCTCCTACCTGTCACTTTTAGCCTTGCAGTGGGTTCTTGAAGATACTAAGGCTGCAATAGGGGCTAGTTGATAGTTTGTGTACCACCCTGTGTCGTTTGTCTTTTTTTAGTCCATATTACACCTGGGAGATCATCAAAAATAAGCTTTTATTGTAATTACACCAGCACTATTGAGCCCTAGCCTGCAATATATAAATAAGGCACCCGAAAGAGCCTGTATTCTTCAGAAAAAAAGAGCTGCTGCTTGAGAGCAGTTAGTGCTGATGTGTATTGGAAAGAAAAGCTAGGTCCAAGCTCAAAGCACACAGCACAGCTCTTATGTTGGTTCACTTGTGATGTACAGAACTTGAAGACAACCCGACGGCCTCATGCCCTACACCTGACCCCATTGCAACTGCTGCACCAAGCCGTGCTCAAACCCCAACATCAAGTCCTTCAAAAGTTGCTGTGGCAAATTTGTAATCCCTAGTTTTGTTGCTGCGTGCCTACAAATTCAAACTATTATCGTCATCAGGGCTTTCAACATCGACATAAGTGGCTTTAGGCGCAGCTATTGAATGCAGGAAATCATTCAAGATAGCCTGAAAAATTCCGTTTCGTGCCATGAAAGAAATACAGGGTCAGATTTCAACTGTCTCCAACATTTGCACCAAGTCCTCATTTAAGTTATTATGAGCTCAGCGAAGAACATTTTGTTTTTCAGTACAATATTTTGGTCCTATGCAATAATAAATTGATAAGACAATAAGTACCTAAAAAGTGTAAGTAGCTTCAGTATATTCAAAAACTAGTTGCATAGTTTCATCATGGATTCACTTCTTGTAGTTGCCCTTGCTGCCTTCCTATCTTTTCTTTGTCTCCCTGAGATTAAGTCTGCTTTATATGCATTAGGACACAAGTACCAGCCTCCTTCTGAACTTGCTTAATTGTGATCTCTTGGACTACCAGGCAATGAATGCAACTGTGCGTGGAAGCCCCTCTGACGCCTACACTGGTGAGACCATACATGTGGCCATTACTCGTGTGTCTCTGCAGAGTGTATAACAAAAAAAAGAAAGCTTGGTCATATCAGTCTATCTTGTATTTTGCCTAGTAGAAAACAAGGGTATCATTCAAAATGCAGGTACACGATTGTAAACGAAGGTGCTTGCTATTGAAGGCAAGAGTAAAAAAACACTTAAATTGTTTAGTAAATTTTTTTTGGTAGAGCTTATTTCTCTGTACCCCAAAATCTGCAAGTATATGACTTTATCGCATCTTTGGTCTTGGCCAGGAAAGGAGACATGGGCAAACTGGTGACTCGTGTGTCCTTCTATGTTAGGCAAATTGATGACGTGGCATGTGCTTACGTGTGACATCGTCAGGGTGCTGTTGTGCCCTTCAATAGATCCACACTCTCAGGAAAATGTGGCCACTCTCACTGTGAGAAATGTTTGAGCACACGTGATCCTCTTCCAGTCAGTCGCAATGACGTGAACTTGCAGTGAAGTCAAGGTGGCAATAAGAGTTGCTACTCTTTAGTTCAGTGAAGCGATAACATTGGGAAGTGACAAGAACACCGCAATTTGGAAAAGGATCAATTGAAATAAGAAAAAAAAGAATAAAGAATATGTCTAATCATGAACCAATATAGCTGTATTGAAGTCACAATGCATGTCAAGTAGTTGCAGCAAAGTTTAGATGCACAGATGAAAATAAAAGGAATACAAAGGCACTGCTAGCTACCCGCACTGCTAGCTACTTGCAAAGCCTCTGTAGATTATATGGCTTCTATTATCTGCAGTTAAAAACTGCTTGTCGAAGATTGGAAATGAAAAACCATTTAAACCTTAGTGGAGCACTTATCATGAAGGTAGTTGATTCTTTTAACGTGAAGCTTCATTAAGAAGCTGTGTTTTTTTTTCAGTTCTGTTTGAAGTTAGCAGGGTGAGAGCTACTATCTTTGATGTCACTTCCACCTTAAAAGAGACAGAGTCGATACTTATTATAGTCATTAAAATAGAATCAATTCGTTTTTTCACTTGGAAACCAAGTTGATACCCTGATGTTGTGAATAAAATAGAATCAATTCTTTTTTTTTTCAAGTGGAAACAAATGTCACAATTCATTTCAACAGAAGCTTTTACATTCACAAAAGGGCTGCCTTTTTTTGCACACTCTCAAGTCTATGTGCTTTTGTCATCACTAGCTTATAAATGTAAAATGGTTTACATGATGGGTTGCAATAGCGCCAACTTTTGTATACTAAATTGAAAAGCACTTATTCTTTTCAGAGTGAACTCAAATATTACATAGCAAGTAGTCGGCTCATGTTGATTAGTATCGACATGTCTTGAAGCCCATATATGCTTACTTTCATAATTGTTGCATATATTTTACTTAACGGACTTATTCTAAACATACTGTTTTTATTTAGGTTCTGCTGGTTATACCTGGGATATAATTATTGTTTGCAGTGCAGCAGAAGGCACAAAAATAAGTTTAAAAAGCATTGTTCTAATACATTCTCTTGAACTAAATCCAAATACAATAAAGTGAATCCCAGGATATGTGGAGATCGATTTCATGTGAAAGAGTCAATGACAAGCTGTCTTGGCTGCATTTTTTTACTCCTTCAGTCGATTTTTACTAAGTTGATAGATATATTCATCTAATCTTAGTGGTTGTCAGCATATCAAAGGGCTTACCAGGCATGTCGATCACACTGATGCCTAAGGAGTAGCTGATGGTACAATATTATGCCTGCACTCACATCTGTGCATTTAAGAGCACAGATTTCACGTTTATGAAAATCAGGTGCATGCTACGTCCGATAATGTGCATATTGTAATTTCTGCCAGGTAAAACAGCGCTTCAGTATACCTTGTTGAGTCTTATCTAAGTACATATCAATTGATTATTACATTGTTTAAAACGAGGATAGCCAACATTGCAAACACTCGACATTGCTCCTATACGAAGTCTTATTAGTCTTTTCTGGAGCATTTACAACCACTAGTGTGGCTATGTACACCACCTCGAATTCCAAGGTTCAAATGCAGACACAACTATAATATTTACTGCAGTTTTTTCATTGAAATTTTTCACTCATTGTGAAGCTGCTGCTACTGCTAACAGATGGTCTGTTGTACTGTCTCCTTAATGCTTACTCAGAGATTTCCAAAGTGGATTTTCGCTATTTCTGAGTTAACATGGGCAGTGAATCACATGTGGGTTATATCCACATCCAACAACCAGTAGTGTGCAGGTATGCACACACGTCACTGATGAAAAAGGTTTGACATCGTGTTGGGCATGCATGTCACATTATTTCATGAGATCATAACACAGCCATTACAATGTCACACTCACTATTTATTCTCTTTCAGGTGCTGCTTATATTTTTTGGGCCAGTTGTCCCCTCTCATGCCAGCGTCACTATGACTCATTATGCCACAAGCATCATAGATGCAAGAATGTGTCACCGCAAGATGTTGCAAGAATTTGTGTCACAGCATCACCAGCAAGGTAACCAAGTGCCATCATTTTCACTCCATCCCCCACTGCCAATTCTAGAAGGTTCAGCGTTCTCAGTCCAGCAGGCATAAAACAGTGACAGGTGATCAAACAGCTCATAAGCACACCCATATCTTCGTTGCATGAGTGGTTGGGCGTTGCGTTTACCAATGCCTACGCTTTCCGCATTGGGATGGCCGACACCCCAGCCTGTGGCCATTGTGGCAAAAAAGAAACGATGCAAGATATTCTTTGTGATTGCCTAGAATATAGTAAACAACGACTGTGCCTTCGGAAGGAACTCGGCAAATTAGATAATCAACCTCTGTTGGAGCAAGGAATTCCACAATATCGACAAGATGCACCTTCACAGAAGAAGGCCCTGAAAGCGCTACTACACTTTTTGCGATCGACCGGCCTTACTGAAGGATTGTAGCTAGGACGCCTTTCCTGTGTGTGTGTTTTCGTTTTCACATGAGTGTGCGTGCGTTTTTTTCTATCTACCCCCTCTTTCTTGCCCCTATTTTCCCGCCCCCAGTGCTGGGTAGCAAACCAGATGCCAATATCTGGTTAATCTCCCGGCCTTTCCTTTCTCTCTCTCTCTCTCTCTCTCGTTGCATGAGGCTATAGTACTAGTCAAGATTTCATACTTATCACTAATGTTCTTCTATATTAGTAAATGCGAAACAAACCTATACCATGTAGATGATGCTGAGTTAATTGTCGTTATCCAGTTTGGATTTTGCTTTCCACATCGTACATTCAAAACATAGCCTTTGAAAAGTGACCTTCGAGACACGCAGTTGTAATTTCTGTGTTAAATATCACACTGGAAACCTTCAGCCATAGTCAGTGCTATCATTTAGTGCTAGAAACTTAGCAAGAGTATTGTATCATTGCTCATCTTGTTACTCTGTTTGACAGCATACCAAGTTAGTCAGCTAGAGCACGAAAAGTCGAAACAGCACCCACTAGGGCATCCAAATTTTCGTTCATAATTTTACATTTCTTCAATGGGATGAGTGGCAGAGTTTGTATGAAAGGTCAGCAACTATACCTTCGATTTTCAGAGCGCATGTTTAGGCTACTTTTCAACTAGTAAGATCAGACCCATTAACGCCAACTTCTATAGGAATAACGAAGTTTAGTCTGTGATGAGTAGCAGCTTTCTTGTTGCAAGGCAAGGTCTCTAGCTGGAAGATCGTAATATAATTTTCGATTATCAGTCCAGCTTTCATAAGATTTACCATGTGACATTGCACTTGCTGGCCTTTTTGTCTGAAAACATTTGTTACTGGACATTGGCTCTCAGGTTGATGCATTGTTCCCAAATTTTTCTAAAGCTCTTGATAGGGTTGCTCACTACATATTTTACCGATACAGCAAAACATTCCTCTTAATGTGCTCACTTGGATTAAAGACTTTCTTTTGCACTTTTGTAGTATATATATTTCCAAAGTACATACAATAAAATTGGATCGATAGAGAGAAGATTAGCATGGCCCCTGCGCAAAGATGACACTCAAGATCGTTAAGCGTTCCCCATTTTCGTGGGGCGAGAGTTGGTTTTTCCAGCTCTCTTGAGGTCATGCCACCGACCTTGTTGCCATTCCCGCCTCCTCATCGTGCCCCACGACAATGTAGAGAGCTTTGCTCTCACGGCTAAAGGGAATGAAGAGTTCCTGGGTGAGAAGTCCTCACGCCTGAGCCCAGGATCTTATGGCAGAGGCAAAAGGCGATATGGGGCTGCCTCCCCTATATTGCTAAGTTGGCTTGGCATGAAAACGAAAAGAGAAAATAAGAAAACCTGCATCAGAAGACACCCGTCCCAAGCGGGAATGCTCAAGCCTGTGCTGGTGGTTGTGCTGGCATCCCTGGTGATGGTGGGAGCAATGCTGACTCCCCAGGATAAACATGTTTAATTTGTGGTCGACGTTTTACCACTAAAAGGGGATTGTGTGTTCATGTGACAAGAGCCAACAGGACTCAAAAAGATTTACGACAAGATGCCAAAGATTTGACAGGCGGTGCTGGATCTCTTGACAAGTCAATAAGTACAAAATGGGGTGAACCGCAAACGATGCTACGCGGTGGTGACGATGCTTCTGGCACGCAGGAATCAATTCTAGTTAGCCCACATGTGGGATTGGATCTGAAGGCAACTCACTCTGTGCCTATCTTGCAGGAGGCCAGGGCCACCGCACTTGCCCAGGTGCCCGCCTCTGAACGGGTTCCTCACGGTTTGCCCTGAGATCTTGAAGGGGAGTGTCAACTCCTGCGGTCTCCCAGACGTCTCAGGGTGACTGTTCCGAGACCATAGGTTCGTTGACACTCACGTTGGTTGAACCGCTAGCCGACCTTCTGGAGGGTGCCTCAAATGCTCCGGTTGGGTTGGTGAGGGGGAGCGTGTTGGACCATCATGAGCTGTCTTCGAACAGGTCATTGGGTACTGTGCATGTTGCTGCTCTGGAGGGCACCTCTAATATTCCAGATGCAGCGGCAGATCGAAGCACTGTTCCTTTGGCCTATGGCGCAGAGAAGGTTGGTCCCGCAGTTGATTGGGAGGCAACGGGTGCACGACCTAAGGTCTTCGTGGTAACGACTGCTCCGGTCTTTCCGGCTGTTTGGTCTCATTGTATTGGTTCGATGGTTTGTGGTTCTTCCGTTTCGGTTTTTACAGATGTTGGTTCCCATTGTGGTGGTTCAACGGCTCGTGGTGATGACCTTATAGATGATTCTTCAGTTGTTTCTCCTGCTGTGTCTGTTGGTGGTTTGTTGTCTCCTATTTCAGAGGTGGGGGATGCGCATCCTGGTCCAACTTGTCATATTCCTGGTCATGTTTTCACGTCCTCACATGTGAGCGGTTCTTCTTCCTCTCCTCTGCTGGTTTCTCAGCCCATTGATACGATTCATAGATGTGATGCCGCTTTGTCTTCACCTGACAACCGCACTTCTACTACTACGCGTCTGAACAGACCCCTGCCACGTCAGTTGATGGAGTTATTGTCCGATTCCTCAGAGGATGATGTTGTTTCACAACACCACACATGTAATGACTGCGGCAGGGCCTTCTATTCACTCATTGGTTTGAGCCAACATTAACGACAAGCCCACTTTTATACCTACAACGCAGACATTGTTATTACTCGTGTCAAGCTAAGGTGATCTAAGGAGGAGTCCTCCCTTTTGGCAAAGAAGGAAGCAGATCTCACTATGGCTGAAGTTAAGAACCTGAATCTAAAGCTACACTTCCACTTTAACACAAGGACCTGTGACTCTATAAAATCTCACAGGCGTGACACTGGGTACAGTAATTTGGTCCGCTACCTTCTTAGCGCTTCAGCAGTTCCGACGTCCCAAACTACACACACACATACCCCACTTCAAGGCGGAGACGATGTTGAGGAACATGTGGACTCACGTCGTGCGTGTTTAGAGCAGATCAGTAGACTTGTTGGCACGGCATGTGCTCTCAGCTTCTCAGCCCCAAGGCTTTAGGAGATCGGGAAACAACTGCTTGATGAGAGGAATATCAAGATGGACCTGAAGAATCACATCAGGCAGAACTTTTTTAGAGATAAAGGGAGCCCTCAAACACACTTCCTCTGCAGCTGTTTCAACCAGCAATAGAAAAAGGCGGAAACAGGAGTATGTACAGCTGCAACAAATGTTCAAAAGAGACCAAGCTAGAGCCGCCAGGCAGGTACTTGATGGCCAAATGTTCTGTCAGGTCGATGAGCCTGATACTTTCTTCAACGAGTGAAAAGGGGTAATGAAAAACCGTTGTGATGAGCCTCGGCTCCCTCGTCCGAACACTGAAATACACGGAGATAGGAATCCCAGGAGCCTCGGCTCCCTCGTGCGAACACTGAAATACACGGGGATAGGAATCCCAGGAGGCCGATTACACCCCATGACATTAAATATGCATTTCCGGCAGCCAGCTCTTTTCCTAGCCCGGATGGCTTCACAGCTAAGGAATTGAAATATGTGCCTGTTGTTATTCTGCAGTTATTGCTGAATATTCTTCTCATTCAGAAGCATCTGCCGGTTTCTTTGTGCTCTGCCAGGACCGTCTTCGCACCTAAAGACGACAGGGCAACCTCCTTTTCTCAATTCCGTCCCATTATGGTGGCCCCGGTTCTTCTTCGCCTCTTCCATAAGATTTTGGCAAACAATGGGCAAGCGATGGCCCTTCTGGACTGTCGCCAACGTGCATTCATTCCGGTGGATGACTGTGTTCAGAATGTTCACCTGCTCGGCACGGTTCTACACGAAGCAAGGAGGAAAAGAAGGGGATTGCTTATGGCCACCATGGATATAGCGAAGGCGTTTGTCCGCGTTAAACTTGATGCCTTGGTAGTGGCTCTACAAAGAAAGGAAATCGCAGAGGAGTTTGTCGAATATGTCCGCCAATTCTATGATTTGGCAACGACTGTCTTCAATTTTCAGGACAAATCTTTGTTGGTCCGGCCTTCTACGGGAGTGAGGCTCTTCAACCTGGTAGTTGACAAGTTCCTGGAGGAGCACTGCAAGGAATCGACTGCCCGCTTTTGTGTCTGCAATCGACTCTGGTGATTTAAATGTGTCGGGCATGGCATTTGCAGACGACCTTATTATATTTGCATCGACACCAGCGGGACTGCAGGACAAGCTACTATGTCTTCAAAATTTTCGTAGAAAGCGAGAGTTGTCACTAAACTCTGCTAATTGCTTATCATTGGCGATGATCCTGGCAGGGAAGAAGCTGGTGAAGATTGACCCAACTGTGAAGTTCTACGTGAATAATGAGGCTATCCCTAAGGCAATGAGTGAGACAGAGTGGCGGTACCTAGGCCAAGCTTTAGTGCCCAGGGGACACCTCCTAGGCCGGTACACAATGAACTCAAGGCGTACCTGGAGAATATAAGGAAGGCGGCTTTGAAACCACAGCAACGCCTAGTTGTCCTCCGCTTTTACCTCCTCCCGCGATTATATCATCGTCTCATTCTAGGTCAGGTGTCACACAAACACATGATGAGGTTCGACAAGACGATCCGGTCATCGATCAGGGATTGATTAAAGCTTCCGCATGACATTCCTTTTGGAGCTTTTCATGCGAGGGTTCCACATGGCGGACTGGGTATTTCATGTTTACGGACTGTCATTCCATACCGACGCTTACACAGACTAAATGCCCCAGCAGTTTCTGAATATACGCCTTCGCTATATCCATGGTGGCCATAAGCAATCCCCTTCTTTTCCTCCTTGCTTCGTGTAGAACCGTGCCGAGCAGGTGAACATTCTCAACACAGTCATCCACCGGAATGAATGCACGTTGGCGACAGTCCAGAAGGGCCATCGCTTGTAAAAAGGCCCACAAGATGACGTATGCTCAAGATTCGTGCGGCAGTAAGAAGCCTTGCAGCAATACAAAGGGAGTGTAATAAGATTTCAAGAAAGTCAATAAAAAAGTTTGGACTTCATACTTCCTTAGCAGCACAGATGGAGCAGCTCTAAAAGAAGTGGCGAATGCTCCTGGGGCATCGGCGTGAGTGGCTGAAGGAACTAGGTTCCTGTCTGGCAGGGAATTTATTAATGCAGTTAGAGTCCGCTTCAACACCATGCCTACTTTGATGAGGCTAAAGTGAGGCCAAAGCGTAACAAAGTTATGCAAAGCGGGGTGTGCTCAATAAGAGACTCTTGGGCACATATTGCAAAACAGCCATCGCACGCATCATATGAGAATCCAACGTCATGACGTGCTGGTTAAGTACGTTGTCAAAGGATGCAGAGAGTTGGGCTTTTCTGTCTCAGAGAAACCCCACTACAAGACGGGCTCGGGGGTTAAAATCCCCGACTTCGTGTTGAAGAGAGATGACCAAGCCCTTGTCTTGAACGCTCAGGTGTTTAAAGTAAGGATTAAGGTGTCAGATGCCCATGCCGTCAAAACAAGCAAGTACATGCACCACGAGTTGTGCGCTCGCGTATCAAGGGATGTACCTCCAATCATTTCAATGATAACATTATCATATAGAGGGGTTTGCGCCAAGGAGAGTGTTAACACTCTAAGAGATCTTGGCTTTTCAGCCGACGATTTTAAACTAGTAACAATATGTTGTCTCCAGGGAGGCTGGCGTTGCTTCACCGTACACCAGCATATGACCCCCGCTTTAAGTGGGTGAAGAAGGGGAAGGGAGCACCAACACACCACACAGGCGACTAACATGGTCCTACTGCCATCTCAGTGGTAAGCTCTCGGCACGGGGGCTCTTTTCTGTGCTCCGGAGTAGAGGACGCTTCCGAATATGGAGCATGCCCTTGTACGCACCGCGGCCAGAGAACCTCCGTTGCCGAGGTAAAAAAAAGCCAAAATGATAGCCTCGTTTATGTTCTGCGTAAGGGATTACTGTGTATTGTATACTCTTTAATGACTTGATGGCTCATGTGGGAGTCATCACGAGTGGCTTAGCCAAGAAGGCAGGAGAAGCTGCTTAACTTTCCTCCCCCCCTTCCCCCCCCCAGCACAGTTCTTGTGTATTTTGTCTTAAAGCCATGGGCGTGTCCTTCC